TTGGCTGCACCGGTACGGCTGAAAAAGGCTCCTCAACCTTGGAGGAGCCACATCCCAGAGCTTCCCCTCCATGGCCAGCTCTTGAGCGCAAACAGTAGCCTCGCAGCAGTTAAGGACAAGGTCAGTGCAGCCCATTTGAACCTCTCTCTCGGGAGCACGGCGTCACCGGCGCAGAGGACGCGCACTCGCTCTTACTGTAAAACCTCGGATGACGTTTTCTCTCCACGCACCTTTGATCCTGGGAAACGTGCTCTGGGTGCCACAATCTGATCGAGAACCTCTCCGCGCGCAGATGTCCTGCAAAAACTACACCCACAGCTGTAACGCACAAAGCCCTCCTCAATCTGGTGGTTAGCGACAAAAAATAAGGATTTTTTTCTAATGGGAACTGGCCAGCGTTCAACACGCTCCTTGATTATTTTTTTTTTTAACCAAAGACTATTTATATCAAGAGACTCGCAGTAAGGAAGACTCTTCGACTCGTGCGAGACCAAAAAGCAGCCCAAGGAGGAGATTTCTGGAAGCTCAAGCTACGGGGACTCGTACCAGAGCCTGCAGACCCCAAACAGAGATCACGAAGCACCAAAACGGTGGGGGTTCCCCACCTTGGGTCTTGTGAGGACATGGGTGGGTGGGCGAGCACGGGGAGGGGACGGCGCAGGGACGTGCCTACGCAGTGCGTGTTTCAGCCGTCATCACCCACAGCTCCCGCACGGTAGGTGGTCCGGGATGGTCCGGCACAGGGGGACCGGCACACTCTGCCTACGGCACAACCCCGCGGGAAGCCGGTGAGGGACAGACATCCATCCTCCTCGCACACCCCACCGAGCCGGCGGGCTGCCGAGCCCCTCCCCTCTGACGTTTCCACGCTCGCTAAGCCTTTTTCCTTACAAATGTGAACGAGGCAAGAAGAGTAAGTTCACACTTAGGGAAAAAAAAAAAAGAAAAAGACTTTTTTGCTTTAAAGCACGACTTTTTTTGGGTTCTTGACAAAGCAATATTCTCCAGGCCAGTTGGAATCTGGAAAAATACACTTACTCAACCTAGCCACCATGACTCCAATAACAATTATAAAATGTCCAATAAAACTTGCATGTAATGTCAATTCAAATCTTGAAAAGCAGAATTAAGTGGTGTATCAACATTAAACTTTACTGCTTCCTTTGCAGAGCAGAAGTATTGTCAATAAAAGTCATTCTGAATGAAGAAAAGGGCAGTAAATATTAAATAAACAGGTTTTTGTTGAACTGCTATAAATGCACCAGAGCTGCATTTTACACTGGGACTCTTTTTTCCTTTGCAGACTCCCCTCACGATAGAAATAAGTTGGTAATTGCCAACTATCAATAAAGCACCAATTAAAGGGCGGTCAGATGCATTTACAATATGTCATTACGAGCCTTTATTGTATGTAGTTGGCTTTTTCGGATCCCACTGGCTCCGTCTGAAGTCTCCCAGCACACAAAACCAGTCGTGCTCCTCGTTAGGGGCCCTTGGAGGAGCCGTGAGGGTGCCAGAGGCACGGGCCGGATGGAGAGCCCTGCCCGGGGCTCGGGGTGCAGCACCCATGGGTGCCCACCCAGTGGAGGTGCTCACAGAGGAGCGCCTGGTGAGGCTTTTTGGCCATGGAAGCTTCTTCTGGCAGAGATGTGAAGACAAAGCATCGCCATCGCGGCCCCCGCCGCTGTTGCTTTTCTGCCGACGCGGGAGCGAGCGGAACGCGACAGCTCTGCTCCGAGATGCGGCAGCCGTGCCAAAGCCTGGAATCTGGCAACGTGGTTTGTTTTCCGACAGGCTGCTCACCCTGGTGTGTTCTGCTCCTTTCTGGCTCCACTCACCTTAGAAAGAGCCATCGCTATCCTCCCTGCGCTTCCTTACACACAGCAGTATTTCTACTCGCCGTTCCTCCTCGCTAATCCGATCGCCACCGCGTCCCGACATCCGTCTGCTTCTGCAACGAGCAGCCAACAGGGATGGGATGTTTTGCTTTGTCCATGGGACAAAAGAGCTGTTTTTTTAGGGTTAGGCTGAATACAATCCTCCCAGCGACACCGAAAACCTCCGGCACACCGCCCTGTTGCCATCACAAACACAAGCGGCACCTCGTGGAGCAACACCTCGAGACCTCTGCGGGTCAGACCTCTCCTGCCTCGCCACCAGGACCTCCAGCTGCCTCAGCAGATCCATCCCAACAAACCCAAACCCGACGCCAAACGGTGTGCCGAGCGAGCGGAGGTACAGGCTGCGTGTTCGGCGGTACCCAGACACAACGGGACACGTTTCGGAAGCAGGAGAAGGAGCGAGCGTCCCCACCAGGGCACAAACCCCGCACAACTCACTTTTATTCCAGCCCTTTAAAACCTGATCGGCGTTTTTGTGGCTCACCAATAGAGTTTATGAGCTGTTCTCCAGTTTAATCATCACACGTATTTACAGGAAGCAGTAACAGCTACTGAGTATGAATGAATCATGCCAGGGCAGAGACGAGAGAAATTAGATGTGCTCTAGGAAAGTATATATGCAGGAGCTTCTGTCCTCTGACTTTTGCACAGATTTATTTATTTCATGGACAAAAAACCCCAACAAAATCAACTGGAACGTGAATGCCATTAATTTTTGAAGAAATTATTTTCGCTATGAACCCAGGCTCAGTAAATCTGGTGGTTGTAAAAAAACAACTCAAACATTTTCAGAGATAAAGAACAGCCCTTGGATGTTAAGTAGGAAAAAAAAAATAAATCCCTTCACAGAGTGAAAAGTGTCTATAAAAATGAACTTTTGGAGAATTGCAAGTATTCATCCCAGCCGTCTGCAGCTGCAGGATCAGACCCGTTGCACCAGTCCTGGGCTGACATCTCTCTGCCATCCATACGAACGGAAACCAAACCAGTGGGGAGGGAACAAACCTCCAGCAACACACTAAGAGCAGCCACGGCAGCGCGAACCACCCGAGAGCCAACAGTTCCAAGCTGGGAATCATCTCGATTCCCTCCAGCCTGCGCTCCTGACCTGCCCACTGAGCCAGCTCCTCCGCATGCTCCGAGATGATGGGCTCCGGAGAACCACGTGCGCCCGCGCCCTCGCTGCAGGTGACGGAGCCGGTGTGAGGAATCATGTCTGTACCTCAGCCATCCTGGTCCCAGCCCACCCCACAGCCCCCGGCCACAGGCAGCTGCCAGGCAGCACATGCAGGCAGCAGGAGCGGATTTCCACCCTTGGAACAGCCCCTGCTCCATCCTGGGCGAAGATGGGACCCTTCGGAAACAAAGCCAAGAGCATCTCACCTGGAAGAGGATCTGCAAGAGGCCATGTACGATGCACATCCGCCGTCCCAGGAAGAGAAAGAAGGGCACCACCAGCTCGATGAAGTGATTGACCAGGGTCTCGAACTGATGGAACCACCACGGCGAGCGATGCATGAAGTAGGCGATGGGGTTGGGCACCGGCTGCGTCTGAAAGGTGGAAGGGAAAAAGAGTCAATCCCCCTCCAAGGCTCATCATCGTGGGGAGCTACAGAGCTCTCGGCCTTTTTCCGTGTTTCTTTCCCCAGGTTTGCTCACAGGAAAACCGTCCTTTGCCTCTGCGCACTCATTTCTTTTCAGAGAAAATAATTTGATTTTTTTTCATGCAAACTCAAGGAATTTTTAAACCAATACATCTTCGAAAACGAGAGTTTTAATTTCTTCTTTTTTCACCATAACCAAAACCCACTCATCTTAAGTTAAAACCACTATTATTTAACACAGCAATGTTACACACAGCTCGACACCGACGGATGTTAAACCGCTCTGCACGAGCGCTGAAGATCATCAGAGCAACTAAGCAGACACAGAAACTGAGAAAAAGATTTTCTCAGGGTCACACAGTAGGTCAAACAGAGCCAGGAATGGAAACCAGATTTCAAAACCTAGGAGATACTCTTTCAAAATGTTTAAATTTGAAATAAATGCAGTGGTAGAGCTGCTTTCCAAAATTGTAATTTGGGAGAGGAAAAGTGTAACTCCTCTAAACACGCTATATTGGTTTAAGGTATTTACATACTGGCCTTGTGACAATATTATTCTTCTATCAGCCCGAAATATTTTGACACTGGGAGATCCCCCATGCAGTACAATACAGCTGCACGTTTTACGAAGGAAACAAACCCAAATCCTGATCCGTTAATAACTGCCACCCTTAGAAAGCTGCAATTTGAGCAAAAGGAAAGGAATGAACAATTTCTCTCCGCGCACCCGACAAGCTCAAGTTCATTAGCATCGTTTTAAAACTGCGACAGAAAGAAAAAAAAGAGGATGAAGATGCAAATTTTAATTGAAGGAGACACAACACATCTTTAATTTATTTGTAGTTAAATCAAAAATACAAACAAAACAGCAAAAACACTGCGCTCTGCGTGGCAACTGAGCCTGCTTCCACTGCCAAACCCCACAACTATTGTAATTCCTTATTAGCAAAGCTGGGATTAATAAAGTTGTTGCTTTATATGGGTTTGAGGCTGCTGTAACCCCTTAGGACAGGAGACCGCATCCTTCCTTCCTCGGACACCGGCGCCGGATGGAGCGGTGTCGGGGTCAAGGAGCTCTGCCAAGTCCACTCCGGCAAAGGGTGGGAGGTCAGAGCTCCCCCCTCCCAGGGGGAGCAGCCCCGGGTGCCACCGAGGGTCCTTCCCCTCCGCACGGGACCTGTTTCGAGTTAATCTCCTTGTTGGACTGCTCTTGAGCATTCCCAGAACATCAGGGAGGCTCAGCAAGAGATTTTTTTTTTTTTTTCCCTACCTTGATCCCAAATTGCTGAGAAACGCTTTTATCCTTCTAAAAAGGCAGGCTGCTTGCTTGGCTGCTTCTGTGATTTTTTATTTTTAAGTGCTTTAACCAAAACTGACCCGGATGAGGTACCAGCCCTACGTGTTCAGCCCAAGACGGGCCAGTCTGCAGCACGTAAGGGCCCAATCCTGACACAGCAGAGCTGCAGAAAGGTGACACTCACGTTCACCCCCCTCTCACGATGCAGCCACTGCCCGTTTCCCCACGGCAGCATGCCATGGATAATTTTAAAGCACAGACCATCCTTAACCATTGAACGTTCCACCCGATTCCCCCATCCCCTTCCCCTCCATCACCAGCTCCCCGGACGCCCTCGGCTATCAAGGCCAAGCCCAGCCAGCACATCCTGCTCGGTGCTTTGGGCTGGGACTCGGGACATGGTCCCCCCAATCTGCTGCGCTCTGGGGAAGAAAAATAAAATTCTTGCCTCTGGTCCTGCTGCAGCGGGACAAGA